CTTTTTTACGAATAATTTTTTATATCAAACAACGAAACAGGTTTCGGGCTAGATTTTCTTTTTTCTTCTTTTTTTTCCTTTATTGTTTCTTTTTATCTTCTATTTTATTTTTCTTGAAAATTTCCAACACAAGAGAAGACGTTTTGTTAAAATTGTCAAAAGCTAGTAAATTTTACGAAACAAAGAAAGATTCGTTAACGTTTTTTTTTTCTCTTTGCATGATAGAAGAATAATAATAGCAAAATAGATCTTTGCAATTAACGTAATGAAATTACGTCGTCGTTATTCTATTTAAAAAGATACACATATATATATGTATGCATAAATTATTTCTCTGTGTGGTATTTTTATATACATATGTGTATGTAGTTAAGTATACATATTATATGTATAGAAACAAATCTATTGAAAAAAATTGTCAAAGAATATTTTGTTTGTTCTAATCGATCACACACATGAGGATTAATATTGTGTATCCCCATTAATTATATTTTATAATATAAGTTATCCTTATATATTTGAATAGAATATACAAAAGTATATATATATATATATGACGTGGTTTATTAAAAACCTTGAATAAGAGTATCATATTTTAATGAAAGAGGATAAACCATATGCATACAGATAAGAGTCTATTTAATCTCGTTATATTAAATAAAAAAAAGGAATTATATATATAGTAAACGTCATTAAAACAAATAATACAAAACTGTAGAATTTATTTTTTTAACACATATGCATTTTATTATATTATATCATATCCAAACAACATCGTGTGTGCATATAAGACAGTGTTCAATATTTATTTATTTTATATATATTTATTAATTAATTATTATTATATAAAGAAAAGCAAGAGAGAGTGAAAAATCATTTTATTTTGTTCTTTAAAAATTATTCAAGGATAAGAAAAAGAAGCATATTGTTAATGAATCTTTAACTATATACATGCATCTCAAGAATAATCGAAATGTTCAAGATTGTTGTTAATATTTTAATCACGATTCATAAACATATATATATTTCAATAAGTTAATTTTCCTTATATTTATGTCTCTTTCCATTTTTTCTTTTTCTTTTTTCTAAACACTGTCTTATTAACATTTTAACAACGACAAATGATTTTTTTGTCTGCGGTTTCACGCGTACGAGGAAATTACGATAAGAATAAAACAATTCTTTTCGCGTTACTCCATTGAAAAAAAAATAAAAATTATTTTCGAGAAGTTTATACGCAAAACTTTTCAATTTTATTAATTAAACAAATATTTTTTCTTTTATTTTTGGAACAACTATCGTTGTTCAGAATAAAGATGAACAACGAAACTAACAGATAACAATTATTTTCATTTCTCGTGCCAAATTATTACGAGAAGAAGAAGAAGAAGAAGAAGAAGAATAATAAACAAAAGAGAAAAAAAAAAAGCAGTGACGCATAATGCACACACCGTTAATCATTAATTTTACTTATATATTTAATTTATTTTCTTATTTGGTATTTAATTATTAATAATATTACAAATAGTATAAATAATATTTCTTTCGATAGAAAATGAACTATGATGATTCAACCAACAGGGGATGACACTTGATGATTAATAATAATTGCATAATTCGTTCTTTGCTGTCAGAATTATTTCTTAAGCAATCATTCTCGTTATTGTTGCAATTATTATTTTTCTTTTTCTCTATTTCTCTCTCTCACACAGACACACACATATACAATTTATACACACATAAACTGCATTTCTATTTCTTTATTCGTCTTTTTATTTCATCACGAGACAGAAGAGAGAGAAAGAGAGAACGCCGAAATTTTCCACTCACACTCACAAGTGCATGAGCAAGCACCTCTCACGCCCACACGCACACAACAAACATAACACACATGCATCGTAGCCTTATTTTCATCGTAAACATTCTGATGTATTCAAAAGAAGTCATTGCTCTTTTCCTTTCTCTTTCGATCATCATCTTCCCTTTCACACCATAAATCCTTTTCTTTCTTTCTTTCTTTCTATGGCATCGGTTTGAAGACTCTAAATAACGAATGGAAATTTTTATTCGATATTCCCCATCTCCAAAAGTATTAGATACCTAAACGAGATATCACACAATGTTTACAAATTGAAATCATTTGATATAGAAAAAAAGAAAAA